CTGACGAGAAGGGAGTTCCCCAACCTGTAGGTATGGTGCCGGTTGTTCCTCCCCAGGCGCATCACCTTGCACTTGTCAGTGTTGGAACTCATCCTGTTCTCATCAGCCCACCCCTGTAACCTTTCTAGGTCCGATTGCAGCCTATTCCTCCCATCTAGCATGCCCACATCCCCCCACATCTTAGTGTCATCAGCAAATTTGAACAGGGTGCTTTATTACCCCCTCATCCAAGTCACTGATGAAGATGTTGAACAGTGCGGGCTTGAGGACCGAGCCCTGGGGGACCCCACTGCCCATATCCCTCCAGGTTGAAAATGACTCATCTACCACCACTGTCTGGGTGTGGCCCTCCAGCCAGTTGGCGACCCATTTGACTGTAGGTGTCGACACCACAGTTCCCTAGTTTTTTTAATGAGAATGAGGTGAGAGACAGTGTCGAAGGCCTTCCTAAAGTCCAGAAAGACTACATCCACTGCTACCCCTGCATCTAAGGATTTTGTGACCTGGTCATAGAAGGCCACCAGGTTGGTCTGACAGGACCTGCCTCTAATGAACCCATGTTGGTTGCCCCTAAGCATAATCTCCCTTGCTGGCCCCTCGTGGACATGCGCCAGGATAATTCTCTCAAAAAGCTTACCCAGGATCGAAGTAAGACTAACTGGCCTTGCTGAACTGTTTTGCCTTTATGTCCACTGGCTCTCCCAGTTCTGGACAGTACAGTATCTTCTCTAAGCGCCGTGTGCAGCCTTTTCATTTGAGCTATTGGATTTGGCTGATGTTGGAAGTTCAGAGGGCATTTTCCTATTTGGCCAAATCCTTCAACTCTTCTCAATACTTAATTAAAGAAAGACCCGTGAGGTCTCAGCATGGAAGAGGCTGTACTACATAAAATCAACTTTTCATTCTTGTGCAAGGAATACGTCTGGTTTTTTTTTTTTTACTAGTCCTCAGCAATAACTTAAAAATGCTAGTATGCTTTACAGATCTCAGAACTACACTGGAGACATCACTACTGGTTTAAAGCATTCTGAAATGATGATCTTACCTCTCTTAACAAAATACTAGTATAAATTAAACTCTTAAATATACTATGGCTGGAATATTAAAAGCAAAATTCTATTTATTTAGGAAAGGAGAAAGGAAACATAGAAGTAGTTAGTACTGGGTTTAAAGGACTGGTTTGTTTGATTTAAATTTATAGTTTAAATTGATCTGCAGGGATGGAAGGACACTTGTTGAAATTTGGGATGGAATAATTTGTTTGCTTTATTGATTAAATCTAATGTTAGGGACTGAGCAAAGCAGAGAGATGGGGACTGGACAGGCAAGAGCCAAGCTCCTGTCCATGCAACATGTATTCTTTACCTGGTTCTCAGAGGTCACTAAAGGCTAAATTTGGACTAGTATAGGTTCATTTTAAAGACAGAATTTATAGATATTTTATTTATCAAGGAAGAACCACAAAGGTGTGGTTCTATAGGAACCATGATTAGTACAAAATATTTAAGATATTTAAAATTGGATACAATAGTTGTCATAATATTGTACCCATGATTTTAAATTTTTTAACAGATATACGGCTGGTGCTTGCACTGAAGGAAACAACTGTAAATTTGCGCATGGAAATGCTGAACTCTGTGAATGGGAAGAACGAAGGGATGTTTTAAGAATGAAGCTCAGGAAAGCAAGGAAAGACCACTTGATTGCTCCAAATGATAATGACTTTGGAAAATATAGTTTTTTGTTTAAAGATTTAAACTAACTCTAAAATGACACATTCATGTTACCGGTTGAAAGCATAAACCAGAAAATTTGACAGTAATCAAAAGCATGTGACAGAAAAGTTGCAGGCTTCCTGCTTTATTGGCATATATTGTTCCTCCTGAACAGCAAAATATAGTAGATTTAGGAGGATTCAGCAGACCTGTCTATGCTCTCATGAAACAGAATGGTGAAGTAATAATAATAATAATAATAGAAATCCTTAAAGTATTACTTGCTTATTCACCTTCTGTTGGACAGAGTGTTAGGAAATAGGAGGAGGGGGAGAAGTCATAATGTCTAGAAAGCCCTCCCTAGTTGTTGGTCCTTCAGCTGAAAACTTTAAGGTATGATTACAAAACACATTATGTGTTTTGGGCTAAGAAGAAAATGATGGATGAAAATTCTTCAAATGTTTTAATGGAGAGGATTTGTTTAAAACAAAAGTTTGCTACTTATCTATATGTAGGTTGCTAAAGAGGATTTTCTTATTAAAAAAGATTTTAAGCAAATAACCATTTAACTACAATATATGTTGAATGGGGTATTTTTTCTCTATTTGTATGTTTCAATATCACTTACTGAAAAGGATCTTGGGAAAATATGTATTAATTTTTGAAAAATCAAGTAGTTAAAATTCTGTTTCTTGGACTTTGCTGTTTAAATGATGATTTTGAAAGATTACACTTGTATGTCAGTATTGTGTATTGTACGGACCAATGTTGCCTGTAATAAAGAGAACTTTACATAAATTTGTTTTCTGCATGTAGCTGCTCTGGATTGATATTTCAGTGACATTTTGTATAAAACTATGAATTGCCCTTACAAAACCCTTTTGGGCAACTGTATCTAAACAATCACATATGGGTTGGTTTAGAATGAGCCTTCCTTGAGCAGGAGGCTGGAATACATGAGCTTTTGAGGTTCCTTCCAGACATTTTTTGATTGTGTTTGGTTTTGATCTTCAACCATGTCAATGATTTGTTTAGAGCAATAGGCTCTTTGGACTGCTGCTGGCTTAACCCAAAATAATCCTTTCCTCCCCACATGCCTTAAATTGGGGAGGGAATTGGGTTCTGACAGCAAGCTAAGCATATTGGGAATACATGATCTCTACTCATAGCCAGTGAGGTTGCTTAAATTACACACTTGATGACATTAATTAGGCCAGAAACATTATTAAAACTATACTGCCTTTTTAATCCGATGGGGGAGAGAGGAGGAATCCCAGTTTCAAATGTATTCTTTAGGCACAACCTATGACTGATCATGCCAGGAAGGTGGGGATGTCAGGTTTGTACTAGAAGTATGCGGTGCCTGGGACATGCGCCTTCAGCCTTTTGTCTTGGGAAAGATTCACGGCTTTCAGTTGTCGGGAGGGTAATTCATGTTCCATTTCACAAATGGGCCATGCTTAGAAGTGGAAGGACTCGCAAGCTTTGCTGAGATGCCACTTCTAACACGACTACCCTTTTGGGGCACAGCCATGAGACCTTTCTTTTCTTACTGCCTGTTGGCTTTGTTGCAGATCTTGCTGTCTGCTTCATTCTTGTCACAAATCTGTGCTTTTTCCTTTTTGTTTTTAAGCTCGATACTTTTGTCCACATTGTAACATTTAGTAATCAACCAAAACAGACTCTAGCAACTTGCTCACTACCTTTATTTTCCAGAAATATTTCACTTTCTTTTGAATGTTTAGAAAAATCTTTATTTGGCCAAAAGCTGTTCAGAACAGTTTCACAAGACTGCAGTTAATGGGTTCATGCCAGAGTTTGTGTATGTAAAACGTGTGGGACCATCTTTCCAAATGTGTATGTAAAAAACCAGGCTGGATGTTGAAGTGTCCCTTGTTTCGGTCCGTGGATTACAAAAGGACAATGCATTACAAGGACAGGGCAGCAGAGGCCCACGGTGCAGGCGTTTCGTGCCGGCTGCCGGCATTTGCATTAGGAGGGGGTACACGGTCTGCATTTCACAGGGTGCAGCTGGCATTTGGGGACCAAGCTGCACTGCGACCCGCAACGAACCTTGCTCCTTTGCTCGAATAAACTTCTGCCCGGTCGCGTGGCTCTCGCCGGTGCCCTGCTCTCCGCGACCAGCGCGTGCCCCTGCACCAGCGATCTGGCGGGGCCGCGCGCGGAGGAGGCAGCGCGTCACCGGGACCGCCCCTTCCCAGCCTCCTCGGCCTGGCGGCTGCCGGCTCCCTGCTCCGCGGCCGCAGCGACTGCGGCTCCTCAGCGCTGCACACGCTCCGGGCGAGGGAGCTCCGCAGGTCGCGGCCGGGGG